CCCTTTTCAGATTTGATCTGAATTGGGCCAGGCAGGAATGTTTTTTTGTTGGTTCTTTTTTTTTTAGTTCGATAAAATTCATAGCTTCAGGAAGACTGCTGCTACCTTGTCTAACATGCAAGCTGGTTGGTACAAAGTTAACTAATCAAAATTGAACCAGATGAATAAGCTGATCCCAAATTTCTGTGGTTGAAGTATTTTTGACTCCAGGATAAGACATTCCAAGGACAGATTCGCTTTATTTTTGAGCTATTGCCCTGCTTTGTCCCAGGGGCTGCTCAGTTTGGCTGAGGCTGTGGTGTGAATATGTGTATTTACAAGCATCTTGTGAATGATTATTCAGGTTTCAGTTGCACACTTCAGTGTTCAGTAGGTATAGGGCTGCTGCACCTATGATAAAGTTTGCTGTCACTGTGAAGACTTTGATTTTTCACTGTAAATTTGGATTTTTTTTTTTTTTATTTTTACTGTAACTTTCTTATTAGTTAAGATCAGGTTTTACCTGGAAGTGTGTTCTGATACAGCTGATAGAAATGTGCTGAATATTGAACCGAGACATGCTTAAGACAGTGATTATACTTTCAAAGGGTGCTTCCTTTGAGGAGGAATATCATGCTTAGCCATTATCCCCTTTAAACAGAGCTTTTAAAAATTTCATGAGGAAGAAGATGCCTTTGATTGCAGGTAGAGAACTTGCTCTACAGCTGTAATTTTTAAGAGTCGTCTTCTGAGTGCCTGACACTTACTGTGATGATATGATCTCTTTTATAAGGCAGTCTATATAAAACACAGCTGAGTGTCCCAAGAAAGCATAGCACAAACCTAGAGTCCCTTGACAGCTTCAAAGGCTACCTGAGAGGTGGGGCTGAGCGGTATGCTTACTGGCTTTGGTCACAGATAACTCTGTACTGATCTGAGATAGAATCTGTTAACATGTTACATCTCGCACTGTGTAATTTTGAAATTTCTTTATCGTACATGCTTTATTTATTCTGTATGCATTTTGGCTTGACAGTTAAAGCATCCAATTGATATATTTATGTCACATGACTGGCCAAGGAGCATCTATCACTATGGAAACAAGAAACAGCTTCTTAAAATGAAATCCTTCTTCCGTCAAGAAGTGGAGAGCAACACATTAGGAAGCCCTGCTGCTTCAGAGTTGCTGCAGCATCTGAAACCCACTTACTGGTTCTCAGCACATCTTCATGTTAAATTCGCAGCTTTCATGCAACACCAGGTAAAGGGGGAAAAAAAATAAAATCAAGAATGCATGTGTCCCAAGCATGTTTTAGAATTCCAGTGCAGATAATCGTGTCCAGAAGAGCAACAGTTATTAAAACTCAACATAAGATGCAAAACATTAAGTGGTGTTAAGACTGCTAGATTATGTAAGTTAGAGATGTGGTAAATCAGTGGTGTAACTACCTAACCTGCTTCAGAGACAGCATGAAATACCTTACGTTACTGCGCTTGAGACTTCTAAATTTAGTTTTATAGAAAAGCAGTCCCTTTCCCACTTTATTGGGGAAAGAGACAGGTTCAAAACAAGGTGACAGAGAAGCAACTGAAAAGAAGGTAGTGGTTAACCAGGGATGGGAGAATACCTGTAGTAAGGCTTGGCAGATGAAGTTGTATGGTGGCCTGGGTAAAGCTGGAGACCGGCCCCTGTAGGTTGAAACTTCTCTTAGTTTGAGTTATTCCTGAAAGCGGTGTGACATGCAGTTCCTATTTGCAAGTTATCTAGCTGCAAAAATGTAACTCTAGACCTAGACTCAACAAGTCTGTTTCCAGTTATGTTAAAGTTTTTCTTTTTGCTTCGAGGCTAGATGTGCTCAGCTGCCTTGGGTAGGGAGGAAGCGTGGCTCTTGCTTTATTTTGCCGTCATCTGCATCCAGCTTCCTGTTAGACTTCCAGTGAAGTCTGTCTTCCTCTCTGTCCCTCCATCCCTTTCTTGTAATCCCATGCTGACTTTCTATTTCAGAAAGTTGGGTTTGGTTTTTTTTCTGTATAAATGATGCCTTTAAATCCCTCTATATAACTTGTTTAGAATGGTCAGATTTCATAGAAATGCTAATGACTGTTAACACTTATTTCTTTTCTAGACAAGTTCCAAAGAAGAGCTACCAAAAGCAACAAAGTTTTTGGCTCTGGATAAATGTCTGCCCCACAGAGACTTTCTGCAGGTGATGACCGTGCGCAGTGGGTTTTCACTTTTTAAGTACTCCACTTGTCTGGACTGCTAGGTGCTGTGCTTAGATATAAGCTGAAAAATAGTTCTGATAAATGGAGAAATTGGAAGGGAACTAGGAGCGGTGCATGTGCGGAATGGTCTTTGTCTAGTATTGTCTTGAACTAAGCAGGCCTTGCACCCTGTCATGCAGGCCTAGTGTTTGCTTATTCCTACCATTTCCTTCTACCTTAGAACAAGTATGTGACTTAATTGGAGAAGCAGCCCTGCTTTAACCTGAATTGAGTCTCCTCTTGTGGTTTGTTTTTTTTGTTTTTTTTTTTTGACAAATGCAAACCTAAGAAGAAAGCCCATCTTGAGGCTCTTCTTTTTTTCCTGGACTGGTTTGGGTCAGACAGTGACTCTTTCTTCAGATCTGTATTCATGAATTCAGAGAGGATTGAGGTCTAAGTTGAGTACTGCAATTTCTTTTCAGTGTTGTGAAAAAGCAGGAATTGGTGGGACTTCCTAAGAGAATGGCTCTAGTCCTCTTTGTTTGGTGCATATCTTGGCTAGGAAGGGCAGTGGCCAAGTAGAAGGTCTAGGTTGTGGGAATTTTCAATGAGTGCTGAATTGATTTGCCAAGAGTGAAACAATGTTCATGTCTGTGGCCTGCATGTGCTGCCTGGGGAGCCGTCTGTAAAATCTCATATGGATAAATCCAAACCCCTTTGCTATGGGAGGGAGCTGCTGACAGCACGTTCTTCAAAGGCAGCCAAGCGCTTTAGTAGTCTTCCTTTAAAGTAGCTTTTATTGGTCAGCTTAAAAGGAATATGGTTCACCTTTTTTGCCTCAGTCTTCACTGGCAGCCTCTATCCTCACCCCTCCCGAGTTGATGGATAGCATGAGGGGGACCGGGAGGGCAAAACCCCGCCTGCTGTAGGAGAAGATCGGGTTTGTGACCTCCTGAGGAACCTGAATGCACATAAGTCCATGGGCCCTGATGAGATGCATCCCAGAGTCCTGAGGGAATTGGCCGATGTAGTCACCAAGCCCCTCTCCATGATATTTGAAAAGTCATGGCAGTCAGGTGAAGTCCCTGGTGATTGGAAAAAGGGAAACATTGTGCCCATTTTCAAAAAGGGTAGAAAGGAAGACCCCAGGAACTACCGACCTGTCAGCCTCACCTCTGTGCCTGGGAAGATCATGGAACAGATCCTCCTAGAAGCTATGCTAAGGCACATGGAGGCCAGGGAGGTAATTCGAGATAGCCAGCATGGCTTCACCAAGGGCAAGTCCTGCCTGACGAACCTAGTGACTTTCTATGATGGTGTGACAGCATCAGTGGACAAGGGAAAACCAACAGACGTCATCTATCTGGACTTCTGCAAAGCCTTTGACACGGTCCCCCACAACATCCTTCTCTCTAAATTGGAGAGCTATGGATTTGATGGGTGGACTGTTCGGTGGATAAGGAACTGGCTGGATGGTCGC